TTCTGTGAAGTCACTTTTCCACACCTCGGACAGGATGCTGGCTGCCTTCATGCCCATAGATAAACCAGGTCAGTTGTCCTGATTAGCGAGATGATGAAATTCAGGGTGTCCTTCAGAAAAGGACTAGGGAGTATTGTGAACATCAGCTGTGCCAAAAGCCTAAGCAAAGCTGCCCAGCCTGGCTCAGGTCTCATAGGGTTGAGTGTGCCTTGCGAGGAAGATACCACTACTCAACATTTGTGTTACTCGAGAAATTTGACATTTTATATACGCAAAACAAAAATTAAAAAAGCAGATTTATATTTCAAGCACTTTACATTTTTATGATCCCTTCCACTCATAAAAATTGTTAGCAGTTGCAATTATAGTGTGCTTTTTGTATCTGTGACAGCAATACTATGTGAAGTCCCAAAAGAAAAATGAAAACTCTACGGAATTGTACTGGCTTACTATTGCTAAGTAGGCCCAGTCTGCCCATGCCAGTTTCTATGGTTAACATTTTTCAAATAAACATTTAAATTGTTTATTAAACTGTGTTCACTTGTGCATCTGTAGTTACAAAGAACAGCACTTTGCCAAACATGTTAGCTACAGGGTACTATTTGTTTTTTAGCTTTTCACTGTTCTTACTTACAAAAATTGTCCGAAGAATGACTAGGAACATAACTACCTGGCACTAGACTGAGCACAGTTACCATCTGAGTGATCAGAATTACCCATGTGCAGCTGATTTTCCTCCTCCTCCCACCTTAAGGAAACATTATCACAAGTTTAATGAGATCCAAGTTATTGAGATGTTGGTCCGTACAGCTGGTCTGTGACAGGAACAACTCCCATTGTCTCGCTCAGTTGACAGCACTGCATTGACAGAGGGAACATTTCTAACACTGACTTGCCTTGCAAAAATCCAAACCAAGACTCACCACCCAGCAGTGCAGTGTGGTACATGTCAGCCCAAGGTAACAGGGACACTGCTCAAACTTCCCCTTGCTTTTTAATTTTATTTTTTGTTCTAGCACCCTTAGGGTGGCAAGGGAGTTGAACAGGAAACTGCTAAAATTAACACAGGAATGGTACCTGCACAGACAAGAGCAGTTCTTCAAACAGTTGTAGACAGACTTCTCTGCATGTGGAAATTCACGTTCTTTACACTTCATGAACATAGCTCTGGTTCCTGCATTAGCATGGTTCAAGTAGAAGTGATGTACAAAGGCTGAAGTTAGCTTCTTCAGGGGAAAAAAAGTAGGATGGAAAGAAACACAATAGTTCTTCCTTAGTGCACAAGCACAGTATTAATTACACTGCAGATGTGCTCTTTGCGTCCCTCCTTATGAAACTGTAAACCAAGCACCTGCACAGCAACAAGGGGATTTAGCTCTTCTAAACAGCTGCAACAAATGAGTGGTTAAGCCTGAAAAAGTGTTGGTACTGCTTCACAGCTTGGCTGATTTCCATGAGCTCAGTAATCCTCTTCTGTATGGTGTTTACAAAGCATGAGGAAAGAAGTACTACCACCAGGTAATGAAATTCTAAAAATAGTGTAAATCTTAACACAGTAACTGCCAGATAACAATGCTGCTGTAAGGAGCTGGAGTTACTGAGTCTTAAATAAAGTTAAAGAACTTGTGTTTCTGCTTTAGCATGCACATGGATTTCCCCAGTCACGAGTCTTGCACCTTTCAGAGGAGTGCTACTTTTAGCTGGGACTAATCTGAACTATTTTGTGAATTGATTTAAAAACCACCTTGTGCAGGTAATGCCGTTGGGAAAGGGCAACTGTCCTGCATGCCAGTCAAGGTAAGTCTCATTTTCCCAGGACATGAACTGATAAGGATACATGTGTCCAGGAAAAGAAGGTGGGGGGGGCAGGATACTGAAAAAAACAAACAAAAAAAACCAAAACCAAAAAATTCCAACTGTCCAAAAAAAACCTTGGTAGGATGGCAGTAGGTTTTTAGGAACAACAACATCTCTTATCTCCTCACAACCTGTGTCTCTCACTGCAGCGATGTATCACCATATTGTGTGTTCCAAAACAAAATGAACTTCTGAGCTGCAAATTCAGCCTCTAGCATTTTTCTTCCCCTCTACCACATATTACAGAGGTGTTAATTTTGTTCATTCAGAGTGAACTGCGCTGGTTGAGAACTAAACTATTGCTTTTCAAGTGAGGTTTACAGTAGGAGTTCTCAAAATATATCACACTTTCAGTCTAAGCGGCCCCTTACTGGACTGCTTCCAAGGATCAAAGCTTGCCTCCTCTCCCTTCTTACCTGGGGGACAGATTGAGTATTTTGGTTTGCTTGCAATGAATTATGAGACGAAATCTCCTCCTGCAACACAGTTGACAGGTCCACTCTCATCCTAACATACAAACACATAAATATTAAGAGAATGCACTTCTTCAAAATACCACAGAGTTATAATTTTCTGAACTCCTGACACACAGGACTATCTGTTTGAAATGAAAGTAAATCAGTTTTCCACTTTGGAAATGGAAGTTTAAACGCACGCAGTTGTGTACTCACCTGAACTTCTTCATTTCTGCCAGGTTCCCTCAGAGATGCAGGAGCTCTCACAAGATCTCAGTGTTTTACTAGAGCATCCCATCACTGACACTGCTGGAAGTCCCTTTTCAGTGTGTCCAGATGTCACTCACAACGTAGTGATGAATTTTAAGTACATACAAGATGGTCATGATAATGGCATTTACACAACTCTCATCTTTGGATGCTCTTGCCTCCTACTCAGACTGCAGCTTTTCATTACCATTTGTCCTTCCTGTCTATCTTGCAGCATCTAAAGAGACACATAATCAGGAATTCCACAGCCAGTTTTGTATAGCATGTATCTACCAGCTGAAACAAGTCTGGACCTATTTGATTCATGAAAAAAGCATAAAGTTTATCTGTAAGCAGAACTACAGCTGCCTGCTCTGGAAGGAGCTAGCAGGAAGGAATGTTTCCAAAATAGTAGCAGATGGATATAAATTATAGGTGTTTTAGATACAATTACCACTGGAGAGAAAAATCTAAAATTATTACCTAGATGGTCACTGTAGGACCATTCTCAGAGAACTGCTTCTACATTCTACTTACCAAGTAATGAAAAAAGAGAATTCAGATTTTCTGTCAAGTCAGGGTTACCAATGGAGCCCAAATATAACACATGCTGCCTTATCAGAACAGCCTTACCAGGGTAAATGTGTAAGCCAGGACCCAACCTACCAGTCCAGAGTTCTGACCCTTATAGAACCATACAGTCAAGGAAGAAAAACATATTTCAGAATAATTGACAGAAAGATTTTGTTTTCTCTTAGACTTACAAGGAGACTCCACACGTGACTCAGCACCACTACTGGCCACACAGAGTTAGTTTACACTGGCGGGATGTATTTTAATATCATTTATCAGACACCATTAATCCACAGTGATCCTACCTCTTGCTTAAACTTCAGTTGATTCTATTAACTGTTACAGCACGAGGGTTGCTGTTCCACATCTCAACCTTTGCACAGGTTCCTTATTAATACCTTAGAAACAGTTTGAGGGTAGAATTCTCCAAGATCAGTTGGGAAAACTGTCTTTGTAACCATCTCGTTCTTCTTGTTTTCTAGTTCTAAGCATCCCTTACTCAGCAGGGCTAGTTTGGTGGTTGTTTTTTTTTTTTGGTGTTACAACAATTTTTCAAGAGTAAATACTCTGATATGAGAGTTCTAATAATAAATTCAAGTAATTTTAAAATCTTGAAAATCAAAGCAGGTACCATTGGCATTTGAGAAAAATGGGTGACTTTTGAGCTAGTTAAAAGAGAGCTAGACAGAGTTTGCATTTTAAAAAAATTTATTGAGACATCTGTTGCTCTTAAATTACAAAAGTTAAAAAGAGCACGCAGTGCACTGAAACACCACTGATTATATCTAAAGCTGCTTTAAGACATAAGGTGGCTTCTTCAAGAGAAGACAACTCAACATGATCCAAATTCAGCTATCCATTTCTCATATTTCTCAATGTCCGCAGCAGATACCGATTTAGAAACTTTCTTCAAAGCTATTTCAAAGTCTTCCATAGTTGTTGGCATGTGCATTTCATCTCGGGGAAGATTTCTTATTTCTTCGGGTGTCAAGCCTTCAATACGCCGCCTCATAGCCATCAGCGATGCATCTCTATTCAGGAGGGCAAGAAATAAAAAGAAATAAATGTTTACTCAAAGCAGGATGGCAAGTTCAGTTGTTTGAAAGGCTAAATGTACCATTCCAGTTAAGCTGTTGCATTCAAAATGATACAGTAAAGAACTGTAAATTTTTATATGAAGATCTCCAAATGCCATCCACATTTTTCAGACATGGATTTATCCTCACTGGATATTTGAATAGCTAGTACTCACTGGCTAGGCAAAACAGGTGAAGATTAACCCGTTTATCTAATGTCACTGCACGCCTGTGATGTAGCCGCCGTTTATTGTATTTTTAAACAGGAACAAGGTAAAAGTCTCAATTTCACTCCTCCTAGATATAGCAGGAGTAGCTGGAGCATTTCAAATGTTTCCTGGTTCGAACAGGAATCCCGCTTCAAAGACAGTGGACAGTATCTACCTCCATCCTGTACACTCACAGCAAATTGTTAAATGACAAAATCTCTTCCGTCTGTAGCTCCTCAAACTTCTGGCCTCAATGAGCATTAAGTGTCTTTACAAGCGTGTCATTTTCTTTCTGCATTAGGTTTGACTGCATTTAGACCTCCAGCAGTAAATCTAGGAGCAGCAGGTGGTGAGCTGGTGAGGTGACAGATAATGCCAGGAGACTAAAGTTCCTGCTAATTCATCATTTCATAGATTATAAGAAAACGCTGCTTATTTGTCTAGTAGTAAAAAGAAAGGAAGGGTAATCCCACTGATATCACAGCAGTGTCATATCACATTAGTAGGTGAGAATCCAAAGAGAAAAAACTTGAACATTGTGTTCTAGGAGGATTTAGAAAGACGGTTTCAGTGTATTCTGTTTCAGTACCAACCCCACTCCCTGAAGGAAATTATAACTGACAGACTTCATGAATATACTAAATAACTGTTAACTAATAAATTAAAATGCACAATACAGGAACTAGAATTTCAGAACAACCCCAAGAAGTTCCTTGTTGAACTCCACCTTAGCCAAATATCACCATGCTTTGCTGTTATAACATCATTTGTGAACTAAACGCCAGTATTACACAGTGGTGAGGGGGAGCATTCCATGCATCTAATTTGCTCCTATACAGCTGTTAAGAAACCAAAATCCAGCAAAAACAACCCAACCAACCAAACCAATAAGCCCACCACACCTCAACACACCCACACAACTGAAGTCCAGCTGCCAGCACTTCCTTTTGTAAAGTCATTTCATGGACAGTCATTCCAACATGAACTCTTGGTGGCTGGAGAAGCACCAAAGCTGTATTCAAGAAAACAAGCAGCCACCCACTGAAAGATGCAGCAGGGGCCAGTCTATTCAAAAGGCCTTTCAACATTCACAGCCTGCTCAAAACAAAGACTCAAAGTCAATTCATACTCAATCTAATATGCAATTTAGATGCATTCTGTATTCTCTGAATGTCATTATTTTAAAATAAAGTTCCTCCTTCATTTCCCATGGTTACATGCTGACTATTAGAAACTGTACTGTAACCTCTGACTGATTTTCACTCTGGCTCACCAAACTCTGAACTTCACCTCAATTTCTTTAAGATGGGAGAATAATTTCAGTAAACCTGGTCTTGGCCCACTTTTTCTTTGGTTTTGCTTGTGGCACTAGCAAGGACTGTCATAGTCTACAGGTTTGAACTTTACTATGCTTACATATTGTGAGTCTGAACTACACAAAATCACTTTTGAATCAGCCATGTCTTTCCGACTCAGTGTTAATGAAACAAGAGCTGTTTCTCCTGACACTATGAAAAAAGTGTAAATACAGAGGTTAATATGAGGACTTCCTAAGTAATTTCAAATCATGTGAATGCAAACCTTAGTTCATCTGGATTTCTGCTTGCTGCCATCTCAGTTATTACTTAGAAGACTGCCACAAACGAAAGACTCAGGTGTTTCTTTTTGCTTTTTTTTTTTCATCTGTTGGTTTGGTTTTGTTTTGTTTAATAGTATTTGTACAAAGGAACTTTAGGTAAAAAAGCCAGAAGTAACAGTGTGGGCATATATATACACATATGAAAAACATGAACAGTATTCTGACTTTTAAACAAGTGTATTGATGTTCAGTCTAAAATTAATCACAAACAACAAACACTAAACAGGCCGGAGGACACAAAGTACAGATAAAGTGCACAAAGCAGCAGACCAAATAAACTCTTTTATATGACGTGAACCTATTAGCACAAGCTCCTTTCAGAGCACAACCAACACCAAGACCGATCAAAATAATACCACAAATTCATCTCACAAACCTACGAATGAAACAAATCTGCACAACACAGATTCAGAGCAACTAACATACCATTCTTTTCCCAGACACCCCACAAGGTTTGTTCAGGAAGCCGTACTGAGGCTCCAAGTTCTTAGTTCAGCCTTAAGCGACCCTGCTGATAGAGCCTTTGGTGGCAGTTTTGCGTACAGGCTACTTGCATTCATCCCTGTGGCACAGCATATTGTCCTCTCAGCTCTGCTGACACAGGTTTGCAGAGCTTTATTAGGAATCTAGGCAAGAAACGGATCCGTGTTTGAGGAGGTAAAGAGAAGGTGTTTTTAATCCAGAACATCTCTCACCCTGTTCAAAGTACAGCCCCACAAGAGTTGGCTGGCACAACCAGGAGCTCAAGCCTTGCCCTGCCACACCGCAGTGCTACCTCTGAAGCCTGAAAGCATCATTACATAAGCGCTTATCAGATGACAACATCTTTAAAAGCATCTGTCCTTTCCTGGCAATTCTGTAATTTGCCACCGCTGCAACTGTGCCAGTGAAATACTTTTAACGTAAACCACATGACTGAAGATCAGTCCCCTCCTTTTCAATTTTTGAAAGAAAATATAGAGGAAGGGGGGTTAGAAGGTATTTTTAGTCAATTATTTCAGGAATCTAGGTTAGAGAACAGGTTCACAAATGATTGTATATCAACAGCATAGAGAAGGAGGAGAAATGGAGAAGGTAGAAGAAAAATTAAGTCGGCCTCATCACAATAGCCACTGTGCTGAGTACACAGCTCTTGTACCACCATATGACACCTTTCCTGTGTCGTGAAGGAAGAACGCTCCGTGTTGTTACTTAGGTACTCCGGCCACTGCCACTATCACCTCTCTACATATGCATTTCTGCAGAAGTGTAACCCCAGTGGAATGACTGCAACTCTACAAGTTAAAGTTTACCATCCTGTGGGTATTCCTCACGCAAGGAATTTAGTCTACATGAAAGAACGTGGAATTTTACCTAATTCATAGCTTATTTAAATTACTACGTTGCAACTGACTGCTCTTCAAATGAAAACTTAGGTAAATATTAACGCAGAATTTCACCTTTTAGCCATACGTAAAAGACAAGTTACGGTCCATTTTTATCCAGCAACTTCAATCACGTGACTTGGTGACCTTACAAACAGTTTTCTTGCAGTGTGTAGCGACAGTAACGCAAATGGTGCAATGTTAACTTACCTGCATACGTTGGTGATGTCTGCACCCGAATAACCTTCCATTTTCTCAGCTATGTTTGCAAGGTCAACATCGTCAGCCAGTTCCAGCTCTCGCAGATTTATTTTTAGGAGTTCCTCTCTACCTTTTGCTAATGAAAGAAAATTAACACTATACAATTTGCTTTCTGAAGATTTTTAATAAATTGAAGAGGGATAAGAGGGAAGAATGAGAAAAAGGGTAGTGTATTTGCTATGAAGGTAAATTTCATGTTTAGATTTCACCTGATCCTGAATCCATAGGTGAATTTGCTTACATGTATCAAATAGATTTTTAAACCAGGCAATCAAAAGTAAAGGAATATTGATAAAGTTTAGATTTTAGTCCTTTTAAGCACTCCTCTCTCCAACTCTTTATACCTGATGGTAAAGGAATGTAAATCCTCTTTTCTAGTCTCCGTCTTAGGGCTTCATCAATATCCCAAGGAAAATTAGTAGCAGCAAGTACCATGACCATCTTAGAAGGATCATCATTTTCAGTAGCCCCTCCGACACCTGCAGTGGAGAAAAGAGAAAGTAAAACATACATATGTTTTCTGAAATTTCATGTATAGAGAGAACGGTATTCACAGTTCTATAATATTAAAGCAGCTACTTTATTGCACAAGCATAATAGAATCACCAAGTGCAACAGAATTCACTTTTTCATCTCTATGACAGCCTGAGAACATAAATGGAAACTAGGAGCAGTGGAATAAGGCCACTGCTGAGATCATGAAGTTCCTCTCTCTCATGGCTAGAATGGTTTTACAGCAGAGTTGTGTGCATTTCTCCCATTAGGGCGCTTCAATTTTCACATCAACATCTTCTATCAGCATGTAAAGAAAAATGAAACAACTCTCCAAAACCATCACTACACCCCAAAACAGACACTCCCCCACAGTATTCACTAACAGCCACACAAGAGCAGCATTACTTCCTCACAAGGTTTCTTCAGTTCTGAATTCAGGCCAAAGGTTGCATATATACAGGTGGATTCTTACAAACTGCTGGAGTTAATGTTTAAATTGGGTGGACTGAATCACAGCTTCTCAGAGACAGGGAGAACATCCCACTTTCTAAACACTATGAATCTGCTGGAAGTTAATTTCATTAAACTTGCTACTCTCTGCATTTACTGTTTCTGTTTATAATTATAGGATTGGGACAGGGGATAGGCATTGTACCTAGTCTGCCAGAGAATCTGCAGATAAAACCCCATTTACGAATGCTCAACTAAAAGGATTCAAATAGTTGCTACTAATAAATTCAGATTATGTACATACTTGACACGAGAACAGCGTTACAGCTCTGCTGCTATTTAAAGTCCAACATAAAAGGGTATCTACATCAGAGACTGAGAAATAAATAGATGTTGTGATTCATGGAATTCTATCACAAACCATCCCACAGAGTAGCACTTTTCAGTTACTCCTTTCCTTCTCTCTGCTCACCAGAGTATAAAAAGGATACCTCTACAGAAACTTTGCACTGTATTACCAACTTTTAAAGTTCGTTGATTTGTGAAATATTAACCAAATAGCTGTAATAAACTTAGAGTTTTAAAATGAAAACTCTCTCAACCACTTCTATACAAAAGTCTTCATTTTTTAATTATATCTTTAAGAGAAAAGGAGATCCCAAAGAAGTTAAGTGTACTTGATTGCCTTTGAAGTTTAAACTGGAACAGGTGACAGTTCTTTTGAAACACTTTATACTTGGTTTTGGAGAAGTGAGTGATAAGCTAGGTAAAGACTGAGAGAAGCAGTTAATCCTTTTTTTTCTGCTGCTGTTTTGAAATCTTGTGTTTTTCACTGAGCCTTCATTATTCTGGGTCACTAATATAAGGTCATAGCTCAGAAGCTAAAAGACTGTTAAATAATGTTTCCTTCCACACCAACAGTTGGAGTAGCGCATTTGTAGAACTCTACCCCAAATCTATGTAAGGCTTTGACAAAACTGCTTCTGAAGAATGAAGTTTTGAATGTGGGGTTGGGTTTTTTTTTGGAAGCGGGGGGAAAAAGTCCCTCAAGTTTCCTCCAGTCCAGCATCTCCCAGTATTCAGGTTATTTACCATCCATTTGAACCAGCAGCTCTGCCTTCACACGTCTGCTGGCTTCATGCTCCTCTGAAGTTCCCCTTCGACTACAGATAGAGTCTATTTCATCAATAAATATAGTGGTGGGGGCATAAAATCGAGCCTAAAGAAAGCAAAGACAAAGCAGAAGCTGAAGCAGCAGTCTACTCTCATTTAACAGATGCATATTCAGAGCTGAGTAAAGTCATATTTACCCCATTCAATGAGTTCATAAGTATCAAACAATTCCTAATCTTCCCCCTCTTGGACCACTGCACACAGGTATAGAGCAGCTGTGCATTTGAGCAGAACAGCTTTTGGCAAAGTCCTGTAATTGTTAGGGCTACAAACAAACATTTAATGAGCTAAACACAGTTTTCTACATTACGAATAACATTTATAACTGTGAAATTCGTCTCAGAACGCTTGAATAAGATTTCAGTTTGAGCAAGAATGAATGTTATGCTGGGACACCACGACATGGAACCTGTCCAAGAACCAGGTCAACTGCAAAGTAACTCTGATCCTTTTGAAAACAAGGGAGGTCAAAGACAAGGATCCACAATAATAAAGGCTATTGTCCTAACAGCAGTTGAGATACTGTTCATTGTGTGTATGCATTTTTGATCAGTCATATTAAATGAGTTGATATCATGCCTGTCAAACTACTATGTAAAAAATCTTTTATTTCCTGACTTTTCTAACTACTATAATTGCAACTCTGCCATCCCCCTCAGTAGTGGGCACCCTAGCAAACACTGCATACAAACCTGGTAACACATAACAACAATAAAATTATTTTTGGAGCCAATTTCAATTCTTATGTGCTCTGAGGCCAACTACAGTTTGGAAGTCCACATATTCTAAGCACAAAAAAACCCAACCCCCCACCCATAACAACACACACAGCCTAAATAGGGTTCTGATGCAGAAAGCAATTAATTTCATCTTAGTTTTATATTCAAGCATGTTCTGTATCACTCATCAGCTTATAGCAAGCTCTCTCTAATGTAGCAAACAAACCCTGAAACTAAAAGACGATCTAACTGTTCAGTTTTTATAAAGATATTCAGGAATAATCTTGAAATGTAAATGGGCAAATCAGAAAGGCCTAAAGCATTTGAAAGCTTGGAGAGTTGTTTGTGCATGCTGAGTTTGAAACCCTGGCAAGGTTTCACTATTCTAGAAGAGATTCTACTTCATTATCTCACTGTTCATATTCAGAAACTTCAATCACCATTTCAAACAGCAGACGAACAAGCTTTTCAGATTCTCCTCTGTATTTTGAGGTAAGCGTGGAAGAAGAAACATTGAAAAAAGTAGTCTTGCATTCAGTGGCTACAGCTTTTGCTAGGAGGGTCTTTCCAGTACCAGGAGGACCAACCATCAGAACTCCCTATTAAAATAAAAAGAATCACTTTTAAGACAAGAATCAAAACACAGAAATTCACAGTTTATTTAGTAGTGCAATAATAAAATAATGGATGTAAACTTTCCCCTGAAAAGTTATTCAAAGGTAAATATTAATTACTCTTGCTTACCCACAACAATATAGCTGGAGACAGTACATGTATACATCTTTATTTTGTTGGTACTATTTACTATTAATTTTGTTGCTAAAGAGTGGAAAGAATTCATATAAACTGTAAAACACTTGAAATGTCTTGTTCTGTCAAGATCCAATCTCAGAATCCTAATTATGATCACAGAATCAGACTTTTTCATACCTTCCATGGTCTTCTAATTCCCTTAAAAAACTCTGGCATCCACATGGGTAAAACTACAGCTTCCTTAAGCAGCTTTTTGGCTTCTACTAAATCAGCAATGTCATCCCTGACAAGAAAGAGAAAGGTGTTCGACAGACTCAGACAGGATGCAAAGGAATCAGTCCACAGCTCAAAAAATTACGCCATCAAACTTATCGTTACGCGTTGGCTCTCCTATCAATCCAACTAATTTTCCTGAATTACATTCTAATGGCAAAAGCCTACAACAACTACAATGGCATCTGGCTAGTAGGTTCCAGCTAGATGCAAAAGAAAAAAAAAAAGGACATTAACTATTTCACTAGAGCACAGAATGATAAGATTAGAGCAAGTTTGTTAAACTTATGCTAGTTACAGACTATGTTTTCTTCTTTTGCTGAGAGGTTGGATGCCCCTGAAACTTAAATACCATCTTTCATTGTTACAAGAACAACTTGCTGAAGACCAGTAAATGGAGTAGAATTAAACAGAATTTTCAGAATTCTTTTTCAGAGTTACAAATGTACTAATTCTTAGGTACCTTATAGGATGGTCTTATTTTCTTGAGGGTAACTCTCAGGGCATTCCTCTTATCAGCATGTGCCCAAGTAATATTTTGGTTTCAAAGCTTATCTATATGGAGAATTAGTTTCAAATCTAAAGTAATAATTAAGGATTCCATATAAAAACTGAAACAGATATTTACATATTAAACTGAAATACCTGCCAGTTCCATGCACACCAAGTTTTTTGTGGGAGTGCTCAGTTTTTTTAAAGCCTACTTTATTTGACAGAAGATTTTTGCTCACTTAATCCTCACAAAACCACCTGAGCTTGAAAACATTTGGAACACAAAACAAACTTTGTATAAGGTTTAATATTTAACACATTTATGTAAAGGTACTGGCACAGGGTTATATTTTATACTGGCAGCCACATCACATCCAGCAACATTTCAAAGGGTTCCTATATTGACATAACTTCTTTGTTAATCAGTTTTCTGTCTTGATATGCCCCTGGGAAACAAAACAGTTTTTCAAATGAAGAGACACTGACAGACACTAGAAACTTTTACACTGCAAAAGAGTATCTCAAAAATTGATTTTAGGTCTCAGAAAAGTCTGACAAGCTTCGTATGGTCAGATTGGACAGGGCTTTACACAACCTGATCTAGGGAAAGATGTCCCTGCCCACGGCAGGGGATTGGGCTAGCTGATCTTGACAGGTCCTGTCCAACCCAAACTATTCTACAAATCTAGGCATGGAAAAAAGATGCTCTAAAATATTCAACTTCTTATGAAGTTTAGATTCTTGTTTAAAGCAGTAAGGAAAACCTGTAGGTACTTTTTATATGTAAGTATATGTTAAAATACTTAATTCTTGTCATACTGTATAAGAGGAAATAGAAACAACAATTCAGAAAGACTGGCAGCAGTACTCACACTTACCATCGGATGTTTGGGTTCTGAGAAATTATATCTCTTTCCAGAGCTTCTACTAAATCTTTGTCATATCCAGTACTATCAAATTTCTTTGGTTCAGATTCTGAAATCTCAGATGTGGATTTGTTCTACGTATAAAGGATACAACAACACAAATAACACAACAACGGTTACACTACTAATGGATTTTATAACAAGTCCACAACAGCATCATATTTCTTGAAGGTGGCAACATAAACCAGGATGAAAAATTATGAAAGCATTCGTATTACAGCTGCACTGCAAGATCGGTTTCACCCAGATTACTGTACTGCCCCAGTTCCATATCCTTCTCCCCAAAGCCAGCATATTGTACCCCTTTAGTACTTAATAAAACTGCATACAGCTAGCCCACTTAAGGAGTTTTTGCCTCTTTTCCCAGAAAAAACAAAAACTATCTGAGACAGTAGCTGGGTAGGGGGAAATTATGTGTAAGACTGGACCATAAAGTTACACTGACCTAGGTATCTCAAATCCTCAAGTGTCATATACGTGCCATATACATGGGACACAAAAAAATTAAGCATGATTTCCATGTAGAATGAGCAGAGGTGATCTGCAGGAAGACCACAGAAGTAATAAAATAACTAATTAACTGATACAGAAGCATGGACATGAACAGCAGAGAAGCAGCTCTGCAGTAGAGCCGAAGCAAAGAAGCTACACAGTTGAAAGGGCTCAAACAGCAGAGACCATGCAACTGAGAGGAAATAAAATGCACTAGACATACCCCATTTTTTTATACACTTAACAGCAAGCACTGGTGATGACACAACAACTGTAAAAAAGAAAAAAAGACCTATCCTGTCTCTCTGTGTGCATATCGTGAGTGAGAGAGGGTTACCACTCAAAGACAATCTAATTTAGCTCCTAATAAAAGTAGTAGCTTAATTAGCTAAACAGTTCCACCCTTGTAGATTATACTACCTCCACAGGCCATGACACCTTGCCACAACATAAGGTTGCTGAAGCTAATAAACTATTACATGGAGATTTCATTTCTTTTAACCCTGGAAAACTACAAATATAGTGTCTTCTGTATGATCTCTTACTCTGGTGACCAGCTAAATTTACGGAGACACAAAGCAAAAATTACAGCAGGAATAGATCATATTTTGCTTGTTTTAAATTGAAAAGAGTATGGAACTAACATCAGATCTCAACAACAACAAACAAAAACCCCCCACCAAAACAAAACAAAAAAAAAAGTAAAGTTCTCCTTTTAAGATTATATAAATCTTGAAGTGCTTTGGAAGAGGTGAGTAAATCTCAGTCTAAAATATACTAAAGTAATTAACCCCCAAGGACATCCCATTTAAGTGAGCTCCATCAGGCTCAGTTTCAGAAATTCAGCAGTATCATTTTAAACAACTATCTCCAAGTTGCAGTAAACAAGTCACAGAATGGGTAAGGATGGAAGGGACCACAGCGGGTCATCTGGTCCAACCTCCCTGCTCAAACAGGGTCATCCTAGAGCACGTGGCACAGGATTACATACAGACAGTTCTGGAATATCTCCTGTAAGGGAGACTCCACAACCTCTCTGGGCAACCTATTCCAGTGCTCAGTCACCTGCACAGCAAAGAATATCTTCCTCATATTCAGGTGGAACTTCCTGTGCATCCGTTTCTGCCTCTTGCCTCTTGTCCTAGCACTTGGCACCACCAAGAAGAGCCTGGCTCCACCCTCTTGACACCCTTCCTTCTGACACATTTACCAGATCACTTCTTCCAGAAGAGCATGTTTGTTTCTAATTCACCCATAACCAACATTATCCACAAAGCAGACACCTTACAAGGTGAGAGATTCAAATCAGCACACTGACTTGAACAAAAGAAATATTTTATAGGCATCTAATTCTATAATACACTCAATTCTAAGGAAGAAAGACTTTCTCAACTCTGTGAAATTATTTGCAAGCTTACCTTTTCCTCTTTTCCTTTATTTCGTTGATCCTTTTTTTCCCGGCTGCGGACTGCCTTCCCTTTATCACTGGGATTTCGAGAGGATGGACGGTGAGGGCCTCTGACAGCTGCACTGACACGATTATTGTGACCTCTGCAATCACTGCATGGAACAGACTGACGCTTTCTGGGTCCTGGCGAAGGTCTAATTAGTTGTAACATATGCAAAAAGCCTCAGTGTAAAGTCACTGGTGAGCACTACCATAACCAAATCAAGTAGTTACAAACTTAAAAGGCTTTTGCTCAAGGTCATGTCAGAAACAAGACAAACATTTCTAGATAGTCACTAAAAATCCATTTTCCCTTGGCGGCAGACTCAGCAGGGCTCATTTGCTTAAAACAAGCTCCTCACTTTGTATATTCTATCAGTAAAAGTAATTCTAGTATTATGGAGCTTCCTTTGAAAGAAAAAGCGTCTGTGTGAGGCCTCCAGCTGTTGGAAATGAAACTAATTTTAGAAGCACATGAACAAACCAATACTGAGACCATTATTACGGATTTCTTTTTTACAATTCAGTTTCTTTTCTATTCGTGTCGGTTACTCTCAGATACATTTTCCACATGCTTTCCTAAAATTCCAGCATTAATGAGCCATGAGTCAAGGTAAAAATATCAGAGATATTTCCAGAGAACAGTAGATGTAAGACTGTATTTGGAAAGCATTAACTGAAAGTAGATGATGTGATTTGACACATCATTTAAGATGCATCAAGGATCCAGCACCTTCCCAGGACTTGTCTTTAACTGTTTCACAGCAGTGAGTTTGTCAGAACAGCACATCTCTCTTCAGGATAAAATGCATATTGAACTACACGAATATGCTGATGCCGTATTAAGAGTATTTTCATTCTCCAAATGGAGTATCTGCCAACTACAGTTATATTTATATACACCTAGCCACCTCTGAATTTCATTCCAAAGCTCAAAATAAAGGAACAGTGCAATTCCACATCTAATTTCCACTTAAATTTGTGAGTTCTGATATCTCAGTATGGGAATTTACTGCAGTTATTCCAACACAATATGCCCCAAGTTTTCACTGTGGCTTTTTCATATTGCCACAATTCAGTACTTCAGCAGCTGGCAAGATAAATGGAATAGAAACAGTTCTGTCAAGACTTTCCCATTTTAGTTACATGAGTTTGTGAAGTTTCAAAACACTAGGAAAGTTCTACCTCCTAGACTCTATCCTTCCAGAATGTTTGAATGAAATTGGCTAGGAGTGTTCCAAAGTTATTAAATGAGATACACAGAAATAGTGAGATCACACAAGACCCATTTCTTTCAGAAGGTGTAAATTATTAAAAAAAATAAAAATTTAAGATGTACCCACAAAGACCAAAGCTATCAGTCTGTGAGAATAGGATTTTAAGTCCAAAGCCTCAAAGAACAATTTGACCATACAGCTACAATAAACTAATAGTCACTTTCTGTCAAAATGCACAGTCCTGTGTCTGCTTTGCATGTACACCTGGTCCCTCCTTCATGCTACCACTGGCATGTGTTAGAACCTTCAGTTAAACAGTTCAGAAAGCTAATCTCATAGAAAAAGAAAAAAGCTAAACAAAAAAAACTAGACACAAAACAATGTCTGTAGCATCCTTAACCAGCTAATCAAAGACAACAAAGACAACAAAGTGAAAAAAACCTTCAACTCAGGCAACTGTGTATTGGGGTGTGAGGGAAGAAGCTTGACGTTAGTCATGACATGGAAAACAAAACCCTCAGACCATTCTGGATTAGGCTGCCTCAAAATGGCATCTCCTTCACTACAAACAGTGGCAAGCTGCAAGCGTCACACATCTAAGTTCTAGGACAAAAATTACACTGCAACAGGCTGAAGTCAAAGCACACTTTGTCCTGATAAATATTAATTTAGGCCTTCAGGTTTCCTCTTACCTACGTTCAGCAGGTACTGGCAAAGACCAGACTTCTGCATCATGAGCTGGTAATTCTTGTTGTGAGGCTTTCAATGGAGTATTGTCTAGTTTAAAGCTCTCTAGTGTTTTCATTATATCTTTCACATGCTTAGCTTCCACACTTATTTCCTGCCAAACCTGATTAAGAAAAAAAAAAAAAAAAAAAAAGAAGTAGATTAGGCACATTGGAAATAAGTTTGTAACTGTTCTCTTTTCAAGCTCATGTAACGCCTGGATAGATTCTACAGGGTTTAATGAGCTACCTAATTCTACTTCAATAAACAAGAATTATGCACATTACATACTGAGGAGGTTTTTCTGCCTTCTTCAGCACATTTAAAGAATAAACAAATAGATCTTGGATTTAACATCAAAAGAGACTTTTTACAAATTTTTAATATTAAACAAGTGTGACAGAACCTAATACATTAAATAGCAATCAAAAGTATCAACTCATTAGACTGAATATCAATGAAAAAAAATGATCGTTTGTGTTAAGGACAAATTACCATGACAGCCACAACTCATTTTCTATTAAGGACCTTAGTCATACTAAAATATTGAGGGAAACAAGACCTAAATGATACCAGACTACAAAACTTCAGCATAACAGGGGCACTCATCAGAAAGAAGCTGACAAGTCAGAGTGGACTGGTTCCCCAGGGCTGTGTTCCATCGACTTTTTTGTCACTGACAGAGAAAGAAGTCATAAAGATGACTTAACTAAGTCCATATATTAAAAAAGAAGCCTACATTTAACAGCACTAATTTATCAGACAATGGTTTTAAGTATTTTTATACTTTTGTTTACAATAAGAGTGGCTATTTTTGCTACTTTAATACTTATCCCACAAAATGTCCCAGAAAAGTAATATTTACCTGTTGCCATTTCTGCTGCAGATAGGTGTCTCTCACAGAGTACAGGTACTTATTCATTTGGTCAAGAACTCCCTGGTAGTAGACCATTGCAGAGTCATAATTTCCCAGTAAGGCATATTCACGGGCCAACTTTACATTCTCAATGATCATAACAAGGCTCATGTTCAACATGAAGCTGAAAAAAAATTAGAGGTATTAAGGAAACAAAAAAAATCCCAGTAGCAGAACAAGTTTTTGCAACTATTTTCGTACGCCCATTACCTCATCTAGCGTATCAAAATATGGAAGCTAGAAAAGTATTCGTTAGGGGGGAAAAAGCCCTAAAATTAATGTCATCCATATAAAACAGTAATTGTTGCTCTGTTACTAGAAATTAAACTCTTCACATCACAGCATTGTTTCTTGACATGGGGATTCTGTTGAAAAGCCCATAGAAGATATGCAGATTTAAATGCAACTGTTGCAAGCCACAACTGCATACTTCCCTTTTCATTCTACTGTAAGATAAACTAGTATTTTACTGTGTTCTTGTGTGGTTTAAAAAAAAGCCCCAACAAACAATAAATAAATCAAAGCCCTTTTTCCAGACGCATTAAATTTTGTTAGCTTTTTTTGCCTTAACATTCCATGCATGTAAGTTTTAACAGTCTTATTTTGCCTTTTGGCAAACACTATTCTTCCATTAGTATGATTTTACAAATCTTGAATTTTATTTATTGTTTGTTGGAAACAAATATACACCTTCTATGCCCAGCTTGCACATTGCTATCACCCACATTTTCACACTTAAAAAGGAACACTTGAAACACATTGAGGCTGCTGAATTAGCACTGAAAGGTAAGGAAATCTATGAATAAACGTGTAGTGTGTGACCACCCACTTTATTTAACATATTGTTCAAACCATACCACGTTTCCCCACCAGCAGTGGTAGTTCGTGGGCTTTTGGAGCAAACATCAATGACTGTGACCACTTCCACTTTGCAGCACCAGCAGAATCTGTACTTTTAGATTAGAATAGCGCAGAAGTATTATTTATACAAAGACAGTAGTAAGTAGAAGCAGTAGACTTACTCTTTGCAGTTGCCACTGTCCATAGAGCAGTTGTCCCACGTTCCTACCAGTTTCTTATACATCCCATCCCCTTCTTCTCTACGATACTTTCACTGTCTATGCTTTTCTTGTCTCCTGCACACCAAGATTTTCCCCACTCGCCTTCTACTTCCTTATCCAAGCAGAGAAAACATTAAAATAAGCAATTAAACACGCCTGCAAGAGAGTCACCTTGCTCTCATTTTGGTACCTGTACCCAGTGCCAGTAAGAAGCAATTGCAGACAAGCAATTACAGCTAAGCCCTGGGATGAAGCATACTTGATACAGATCAACTATTTAAAGAATGTAAGAGGTACTCATGCGCAATAAACAGACTTAAGACTGAACACATTGCAAAGACGAGGTCAGGGTCGAATTTGGCCACATCAGAGGTTTCAGAAGCCACACTTTGCACACACCTGCCAACCTACTGCTAAAATGTTAGCTCTCCATTGTAAAGTGGGGCTGCAAAGTACAAATCAAACATTTTAAGATTTGCACTCCTTTTTCTGTTCCCTTCCCAAGCAGCTTCACACACAGACACACAGCTGAAGCATTCCTCAGCCAACATCCTTTTCTTTTTTGCTTCCTTCCTCACCTTCCCTTGGAGCAGATAGCTGCTATGAACATTTTCAGTCCAAAACAGCAAAACTCTGGCAGCAAGGGATCTGAAGACAGGCCTCCAACAGCCCACACCCATCCACAAGGAAGGGACCCGAGGGGCTGAGCTTGGAAACCTCCTATCATAGAACCTACACTATGTAATCTCACTCTGTCCAGAGACTTGCTGAGCTGGCCATGTCTACAAGCTGATACAGTTAATGTGACCAGCAACTACAAAGGCTAACATATCCCAGGCTAATTAGGCCTTAGAGATACAGTTTGACTTGAGAGCTCTGTTGGTTTTAACCTTAGGAGAAGGAGCCTGAAGATGTGTGTCAACTGCTGTATGGATCATCACACACATATTACCACAGTTTTCCCTGCTGTATTTAGGAGCAAGCTTTTCCACTCCTGCTCATCCTACCAGATACACCTGTTTGCCTGTCCTAAGAATTCAAACCCATGACTAACACTACTGAAATCACAAGTTGAGCAAGATGCTAATAAACATTTTAAAAATCAAGTAATAGCAAGTTACTATAACCAAACTAGACTTTTAAAAGCCAAGAGAGGTCATAGATAACTTTTGTCCTACACTGAATGCTGTAGAGCAATCCAAGCAGAACAGCAATTCTGTTTACGTATCAAGAAAAAAAACTCCAAAACAAAAACAGCTTGTAATATCAGTTTTCATCTGAAAATGTGAATATAGCTAGAAGGAAAAAAAACAACAATACCTAAAGAGGCCAAGTCAGAAAGATATGAAAGCTCGGGACCAAAATGATAGTACTGCACATAATAGAAGAGTTAATGAAATTTTCAGGTTAGAAAAGGCACAGAAAGTAAGGACAGAAAGCAGAAACAAAAGCATAAGCAGAATGAGCTAGCAACTCACATACAGGAAAAAAAAAGGAAGGTGCTCACTCAAGTTTATAATGCTACTGGAATCTGTTTCATCTGTGGTATTGAAAATGCAAAAGAATTTAGCTGAAATTAGAAAACCAATTTAATTTGTTGCTTCATTTTGACTCATAAGAGCAGAAGAGCTTGAAGTGGCTTCTAAATACAAGGCTCTTGTGTACAAGTGAGGCAAAAAAAGCTGCTGGCTCTGCTTATGTCTGGACATGCCACTGATGCTGCCACTTGAACACAGGCAGTGTTAGAGCTGATACACTAATCCATGGGCTTGCTGCACCTGTAACTGAAGATGCTGAAGCATTTCTAAGAGGAAAAAAGAACGCCACAAATGAGTTAGAGTACTAATCTGAAACTAGGTTAAAGTTTGTAGCAGAAATTTGCAATATGCTGTGGCAGCTCACAGTAGGGTACAAGACACATGTGGGAGAGGCGTGAGTACAAACAAATCTCGAGTTAAACCAGAACTGAAGGGATTAAAACACCCACGAGACTAATCCTGACCACTTCATAATTTTTAAAGTAATAACACATGTGTTCAATACTCAGTAACACCACATGTGTTTACAAATATTTGGTGCTATCACGTAACAGGATGTCAAAGCTGCAAGGCTGCACTTATCAGCCACGACCTTTCCATGAATCATGCCCAGTGAAGTTATCTGTGTTCCAACAGCAACTGAAATAGTAAAGAGCTCATAAAGTTTACAGGGAACAGGATATAAGGAAAATAACCTAAGCACTTTGTCTTGCAAGTTTAATTCCGCCTTGTGTACAAACACACACACTTCCCAATAATCGCTCTTTACACTAGCTATAGCTATATGAGGTTCCCCAAAATTAACCAATTTCTAGTAACAGAGTACATTTTTATCATTTGCTCACAGGACCTAAAATACTTCTAAAGTACAGAACAGCCAAGAGTGGCGAGGGTTGAACTTAACCAACGTTCAAGATACCTACAACTTTTGAGAATGAGGTTTTGGAACTTATTTTTGTATTTCATTTGAAATGTAACAGACAACCATCGAGAAAACACTAGGGGCACTTCATGTTTTCCACAAGGACTTTAAGAAATTATCATAAGGAATGACTGTAGGTAATTGCTGCTCACAGTCATACATCAGAATCTGGGAACTATAACCAAACACTGCATCAATCATGTTTCACAAAGAAATCCCCCAAACTTTAAAAATCAAGAGATGGATAATGCAGATGTTGGAAGTGAAGATTTAAGTTGGAGTTCATCAGTTACTGCAGTGGACTCGCTGACTCGGCAAACAGCACAAGACATACATGGAAAATATTTCCAAGAGTCTTTCAGTCCAACCTTAATATCTGGACTAAGCCAGAGCCTGAATTTTGGCAGAGCACACATGTTTCCATTATTTCAGCCTGCTATACAGGCTCTGACATCAAAGCAACCATGTAAAATTTGCAAAGTTCTCTCAGCAAGCCAGATGAGAAAAAAAACACCCCAAAGTAACATCTTTCAGGAATCAATTTTTACTGATGACATGATGGTATCACCTTGGAGCTCCCTTCCAGCTTAATACCCATCTTCATAACATCCATGGCCAGCAAACATTTGGCATCAAGAAGTGATTGTGTTAGTTACTTCGGAAAGAGAAGGGTTGCCAGACTTATTGGATACTAAATAAAATGCTTCTCATCCGCTTACTGCATTTAACAATAATGGTAGCAAAAGAAGAACTACCAGCAACCATGAACACAAGCATGCCTAGATGTGTAAAAGAAAAAGAACATAAATCAAACATTAGGCAGAGATACACTTGTGGCAGATGATTTTACGTTTTCCAGGCTAAGCCTTTCAAAAGACTTGATTAAGCACGTTACTTACTCCCCATTTCATGGGGGGTTGGCATTCTTTATGATGGTATACATTAAATTAGCAAATTTCTCAGAAGGTTTTGAAGTGTCTGCAGCTAAATGGATAGGTGGGATTGCTTCTGTCTGGAGAGAAAATTTACATCACCGTAGATTACCGCAAACTACTTCACTAAGGAAAAAAAAAACCCAAACCACCCAACACCAAAACAGGCGGAGGATGAAGGAAAAAGTGGGAACCGGAGTTCCGTGCCTGAAGCGGCTCCCAGCAGCCCACCCAGGAGGATTCCCGGGGCGGGGAGGGCCCTGCCGCACACCTGCGGGGCGCAGCCTCCCCTCCCGGCGGCTTCCAGGGACACCACGGCGATGCCCGCCGAGCACGTGCGAGAGACAGCCCCGGCACAACAACACCGACCGACCAGCACCCTGTAATGGTGGCGGCTGTCGCGACAGCAGCGGCCGCGGCCGCTCGTTCTCCAGCCGCGGGACGGAGGAGCCGGAGCCTCCCCGGTGCCCGGGAGCCGTCGGGGCGGCCCCCACCGCGCCGGACCGGGCATCGCCCCCCGCCCGGGCCGAGCGGGAGCACCGCCCGGCCGGGTGGGCGCGGGGCAGGAACCGCGGGGCTCCCTCGCTCACTTACTCCTCCCCGAAGCTCGGACCGGCGGCGACAGCAGCAGCAGCTGCGGCTCCTCCACTTCTTCCGCCCCCTTCCTCCTCCAGCGACGGCCGACCCCACCCCCGGCCCTGCCCGCCACCTCCCCCTCCCGCCGCCGGCAATTTTTGAAGGCAAATCCGGCTGCGTCACTTCCAGCCCGGCGAGGCTGGGGATGAAGGTCCGCCCGGCCAGCCGGGTAAGAAGTCGGTGTCTGTTTGAGCGTTATTATTGACAGCGATGATCCCGTTTGGTTTTAAATTTTAAGGGAGGGGGGGAAAAGGGGAAAAAAAAAAAACAAACAGACAGGCAGAGAGAAACAAAGCAGGAAGAAAAGAGCTGCTGCATTGGCCGGGAATCGAACCCGGGCCTCCCGCGTGGCAGGCGAGAATTCTACCACTGAACCACCAATGCTGTGCATGGCGACTCTCCCCTTCGTCATCCCAAAGTGATCCCAGCGGAGTTGCCCGCCCTGTTCACCTACCTAATATCCCGTGGTGGAGGAGAGGCTTCATTCACCCATTCCCTTTCTACAACTCACAAATGTAGTTTTTGCCGAGTGAATAGCACGCACCAACTTTAATTCGCATGTTCCTTGTTTATGGCTCGCCTCCACCTTTTCAAACTCTTAGTAGAGGGTGTTGTTTTGGGGAAGAAAACGCATCTGAGGGTGCTGAGGAGAGCCAGCTGCCGAGCTGAGTAAGACCAGGAAACTGCCCTTGAGTGTCCCTGATGGAGCAGTACCTCTTCACCTGTCTAAATAGACTCAGCTGCTTAGCAACAAATAGGATCTAAAGGTTGGGCACAGTGCAGCAGGTTTGTGATAGCTCTTCAGAGTGAACTCAAAAGACCCTCAACATTATGTAATTCCTTAACTTATATGACATCCATTCTTATTTTTCTTGCTTTTGTATTTTTACCCGTTCTTGAACTGGCAGTTTTAGTCTATCCCTTTAATGAACGTCTGAGTTTAAAAAAATCATTTCTGCATTACTTTAGCTATAAAGGCAAAGAAAGATGTTGATGAGCTTCTAAAATTGGAAGTGCTACTGTATCACATCACTTGGTTGATGAGAGCCGGAGGGATTTCCCTCCTCCCCTTTGTATGTGGCTAATAAATTAAAAATGTGCTGTACTGCCACATCCTCCCCCCCACAACAAAATGTGCTGTACTGCCACATCCCCCCCTCCCTAAGAAGAATTAGAATATAATGTAGTCTCTGCAATAACACACTGGTTTCTCCATTAGCACTTTGAGATGTGCAGTTAAAGAATGGGATTTTCTCAAAGACAATTTTCCCTCCTAACACAAATGAAAGCTGTGATGTGTTGTCGATTTCTCAAGGAATAGCTTTATGATACATAATGTATGCATAGTAGTAATAATAATAAATAATAATTATTAAAGAATATTTACTTTTTTTTTATGAAAGAGGCAGCAGACAATATGGAAAAAGCACCAACTCCTGAACATCAAAATGTATACTTTTGAGAACAGGTTACAAACACGAGGTAGCTGCCAAGTACAAGAGTGTCTCTGCTGATACGCTTGCACCATTTTACTGTTAGACAGTAAAGCTGCTGCAGCATAAAAGGGACTTGTGGAAGAGGGGTGTGAAGGAGAAGGAAAGAAATGCATTTGGGCAACTAGTATTTACGTTTCATATTTGCTTAGCCAAAACAAGAACTTGATTTTCACTCCTTATCAAGGTTCATTGTGGTTTTTATTACTCCAGCAAGTGTTCCGCTCCAGAAACGAATTCTTGAGAAAACAGTTTCTAAAACCCAAGAAAGTCACTGACTACCAGCAGCTGATAATTCAGTTAGGCTTTTCACAAGTGTTGGAATTCTTTCTCGAGTAACTTTTAAGAAGGTGTCAATGCAACCATCCGCTCACATCCTGTCCCCCAGGTCAAATATGCACGCTGTATGTTCAGCCAACAGGGACAAGAAGTCTCAGCTTCTTAACTACCGGGCATAGACTGACCAAGTGGAAACCTGTCACTCCTGGACAAAGGGTACAGATGCTCCAGTGTACCTACTCGAAAAGTGAGCAGAAAAGATGCCCATTCTTTCCACATAAACATCAGGGGACTTGGAGATTATGTTCCAAGCCAGCACCCTGTAACCCTCTAAGGCCCAAACATCCCAAATACGCCTTCAGAGATCACATGTAGCTGGACTACAAGTATTTAGAGACCTGGCAAAAGGGTATGCCCGTGTCATGACCAAGACAGGTAAAGAATACTCAAAAGATCATTGAATAACTTACTATGGCCATAAGATAATGCAAGTTTGTTAAGTTCACCAGCCAGGCACAGAAAAAAAGAACGATTTGCGTAAACAAAATTGTGCGGTGGTCTATGTATTTAATTGGAGAATCCAAAAGAACTGACAGTCTTATAATACAAAAAAGACATTATATATATATACATATACACACATGGAATATGCCTATATATATCTATATAGATACATATAAATCAGTAAACTTGAATAGTGCCTTTATCATGAGTATCTTAAGGCATTCAAACATTTTACTATGACATTGACCCAATTTATTATCTTTTTGCTTTGGTTGAAATAAAGCAAACCGATTAAAGGTCTGATCTGATACACCGATGACGTATGAAACAAAAGCCTAACACTATCTTCAGTGACAGTAGCATCATCTAAGAACGCACCCACTGCACTGCCTATTAGCTGAATAATATTAAAAGGAGTCTAAATAAATCATTCCCACTCACAGCTTTGCAACAGCAGAAGATAAGTCAGTCTCAAAGAGACTTTCTAGCCATATATTCTATAGACTTCTATTACAAATCAAGGATAGAAAAGATACAGCAAGAGGGCCTGCCCGAGGATAGAATGCCACTGAATATCAAATAGTATTTACAGTACAGTTATAGGATTATAGAACATTTTATAAATACAATTAATATGTATACAAGGGCACATAAAAGAGAAACTTGTTTTCATGCTTTACGAAGTGAAAGCAACCTGAACTGAAACTTACTGCAGAATTCCACAGCTGCTGGTTAGGAGCCTCTCTTCTTCACTGCCTGCACAAACCAATCCCCATCGTAGGTCACCAGTGAAACACCCATGTTTTAAGCAGCAGCTATGAAGAATCTCTATAATAGACTCTGAATCTAGGGATGAAACGTGAAGTTTCAAAACATGGGTAAGGCAGAGAATGCTAGAGAGTTGTGACAACATTTACGTGTAACTCGGATTGTAACAAATTGTATTTTTTGCAAGGAAATATATAATACTGCAGCATCTAGGTGGCAAAATTCAAGCAACATATATTACAACTTCTAAAACATGATGTTAGGAAATGCTGGAAGCATCTCCTGAATTCTAAAGATGTGAGCTTTTCCTGTATTTGTTTAAAAAGGCAAAATAGTATTTAGTATTTCAGCACTTGCACATGTCCTTGAAAGAATCAATGATGTCCTTTAAAAAAAGCACTTTGGTTTGCTTGTATAGAACAATGGTGCCTTTACAGGACTCTTTTTTATATTTTTTTAATTTATT